ATAGGGCCACTGATAAACACCTCAGCATTCAGAGAGCTGACCGTGTTCAACAGATTATTAAAGTCCTCTTTCAACACTTCAGACTGTTTCACAACATCACTGGTCCCGATGTGCAGTATGATGTTTTTCACAACAGGATGTTCAGCCACGATATGCAGGATTCTTTCTGCCAAGTCAGACACCGTATCCTTCGGAAAGCAGAGTACTTTGGTGTTCTTACTGCACATGCTTCTTACATCGTTTACAGCAGCGTCACCCACAATCAGAGTTTGAGGCCCAGTCGTTAGCTTTCCCTGCAGCCTTTTACTTTCTGATTTGCTCTCAGTCCTTACCCTTCTGTGTGAGGACGGGATGTTATCCAGGTCATCAGACAGAGATCCAGGTTCCTGCAGTAGTGGTGAAAATCTGTTCTGCTGTTGCACACTCGGTTGTTGGGGAGGTTTGATGCTAACTCTCCCTTTCGCAGCTGTCCACAGCTGTGTCCTACCAAGAACAGGGGTTGAAGAGGCGTTCTGCCTGGATGATAATGCCGGCCAGCCAGTCGCATCACAAATCTCAGGGCGCTGGGTTCTGCCTGTTACTGGTTCTCTCGAGTTCCAGGGAGGACTCCCACTTTTAGATTTATTACCCAGTACACAGGCCTCCTGCTTCTTGGTAGCCTTGTTGGTGCTAATTAGCCGTGTGTTAGCATGCTCTTGTCCACTGTTTTAGGTCCACGGTAAAGTGGTGTCATTCCCACATAATCCATTCACTTCCACATTCACTTCCAACCTGTGATCTTGGTTTCCAGCACTGCAATTTTCTGTAGAAGTTTGTAGAAGTCGTCCGTGGAGAAGGGGGGCATCTTGTTGCTAATTAGCATTAGCTATAACTCCAGTCACTGCAGTACAGGCTAGTGCTATTGATAGGCCGCACTCGCGTAGCACTAAGATCATAAAAGGTTTTAAAGTATGGCAAGAGCCAACTTTATCTGACAGTCCCAGTGATTTAAAAGTATCCAAGAGCTGCTGATTTCTAGCACGAAAAACAAAAAAGAGAGTTTAAGCAAAAGAATGCAAGGAGAGGCAAGAGCAAGCAGCGTCTGCACTGTAAGAAAGCAGGAAGGAGTCACTTCCCTAAACCCATTAAAGATCAGGACAGAGCCGCTAACATAGACTGTATAAAAGAAGTGGACGTAGCCACCATGATGTCACCCACTGGTCTGTGGACTGGCGTTTTGAAGGCGTACATTTTTTCAAGGGTTAGGGTTAGCCAATCACAGGCAGAGTAAGGGGGCAGGACTTAACACAAAGTTTGTGTCCATCAGGTGAGAGTTGTTCAAAATCTGGTGAAAAAAAACAACAACAACAAATTTCCAAACCTCGAGACGTACCGATTGGTTGTCACCAGTTGTTTTGGAACCAGAAGTGACCATATTTGGATGAGAGGGGGGAACTGGGGAGGGATACGCATTTCCACGCCTGACAGGTTGCCATGGTAGCAACTTGTCAATCACAACATTGTCCCGCCCTAAAGCCTCCCCTGCTTCCTGGTCTCTGTTCCTCTAAATGGGACCATAATTTACTAAATGAACATCATGCTGTGTTGAAGAAGACTTGAAACTAGCGACTGAGACCATAAACTCATCAGGAAAGTGTTTACTGAGGGAACGAATAGGGCTGCAAGGATTAGTTGACGTAATCAACGATAAAAATTTGATGACGTGAAATTTCATTGTTGACGAATCGAGTGAGGCTGTTTAAGGGAGAGATAACGAACTTCTTATTAAGAACATTTGCTCTTGGAAATCTATTGTGTAATAGATAAAACATGTCATGGAGCATTACAACATGAGACAAGATTGGCACGATTTTCAAAATAAAACATCCTGTGCAGACTCCTGATCGTGTATCAACAATAAACAGAGTTAAAACAGACAATTTATCTGCGTAGCCTACTTAACCATGGAGAATCATTAAAGCTTTGTGAGCGGCAGAATAAGCATCATGGACCTATGACCTTTGCCCCTCTTTCAGCCTGCTCTGTCATTTGTGACTGTAGCCTGTGCACAAAGTGTTTCTTCCTTTAATCTCAGGTCATGCAGTGTAATCACCTTTAATAAGTAACTAGAACAGAAAAACTGTTTGTGTGGAAAGAACATAGATAATCCTTGCTTTGTTCTGTTCAAGCTTTCCTTTGGAGACATAATTAGTGGACACAATACTGCTATTGTTTCATAAGTAAAGCCTTTATGTACAAGGCTTCGTCTCGGAGGTCCTAAGATGACTTTGCTTTCAAGGTGCTTAAACTGTTAAATGAATTAACATTAACAATCCACAGCTACTGTATTTTCTTATAAACATAGATAAAAACACACTTTTCAAAACAGGCTGGTGATGGAGCAGTGGATAAGACACATGCCTCTGGTGTGACAGACTCGGCTTCAAATCCACTGTGAGACACCAATGTGTCCCTGAGCAAGACACTCAACCCCTCGTTGCTCCAGAGGCGTGCGACCTCTGACATGTATAGCAATTGTAATTCGCTTTAGATAAAAGCGTCCGCTAAATTAATAAATGTAAATTTACTGAAAAGTGCTTAACAAATAAACATATTATTATTAATATTGTTCATATGTGTGTTAGCTTGGTCTGATTGTTGAGGCTGGATATGTCAATTCAATAAAAGCTGGATTCGAATGTATCTGTACCAACAAGTTGTTCAGCCTAAACCTACAAACGACGATTTAGTTAGCTGGATCGTGGTCTAGCCCCATGTATGGTACATTCAACTCACAGAGCTAAGTGTCTGATTTTCTAAAAAAACAAATATGTTGTTAAACTTTGCTTTCCGCTGTTTTGAAGATATGAGATCTGAATTCTCAAAGACTCTCTAAACATCTGGGTGACAAAATATTCCATCTCTTGCATTATTAAAAAGATTTAAAACAATTTCCAAAGTTGGGCCTCTCTATCCTAATACAAGTAAGACGGCCAGTTAAAATACAAGTAAATCATATGACATAATGGAGATATGTGAAATGGGACACCCTGATGAGCTCTCCGAAGCTTGAGAAAAGGGGGCCAGACAATAAGCAGATAGTATTTAATATATAAATTTACTAACACGTCTACATTTGTGCACATATTATACTGTAACAACCCACCTCAGACTAAGCAATGACCCTAAGACACTAAAAGCTAAAACAACTTAAACTGAAACCAACAACATATATATATATATATATAAATATATACAAGTTTACGTCTGCCCTTTCTAAGAGCTTTTTTCTGGTCTTGTATTTATTGCAGGGAAAGTAAATCAGAATACAGTCATTTACTTTGGACCATGATATGGCACGTATGACTTTCTTCTGTAAAATCTTCAGTTTCAAAACAGCATCAGGATGCTTACAGTAGAAACGTTTCTGATCCTCTGAGGCTGTTCTGTGGTTTCTGCTTTTGTGTCTGAGGAAAAAACAACATCTGATCTTTATTCATTGACAGAAGTAGAAGCAGAAGAGAGTCAGGCTGATTTCTCAGAAAAAGTGTGACCTGTAGACCGAAGCAAGGACGACATTTTGGTGGGCAGGGGCTGCAGGCATAATTCTATACATTTCTTTAAATACTTTTACTTTTTGTTTCACAAGCAAGATTCCAAATGAGTAGCCAACAGCTTCACACAACCAAGCAACAGAATACTGAATTGCCTGAATACATTAATGTATTGATCAAATATATTATGATTGTTGCTATTATATAACACTTATCCACTGTTCCATCACCACCCCTCATGACCAATAATACATTTTACTTTTGATACTTAAATGTTTTAAATGCAGCTACTTACTTTGACAGTTTCTGCATTTAGTCTTTCTAGGGCAGTAGTGTCAGAGAGAAACAGAGAAACTGTGCTTGACTGCAGCTCTGCAGTCTGACAGACAAACTTTCAAACACGTTTTCACTGAGGAATGTGTTCAGTGTTTCTGCACCTTTCAGTGTCCAGACACTTCACCAATGGTGGGCCTGTTGTTTGCAAATGGGTTTTCTTCTTATTTTAATTACTTGTTGCTCAGTTTATTTCAGACATAAACAACAGTTGTTTTTTTTATCTTAAACAGACAAACGCTCCTTTAAAGCATATTTTCAACTCATTAAAATCAGTCACTAAATACAAATCAAAGTAACAGGAAACAGGTCGAAGAAAGCGGATTAACCATCTTAAACTAAGGCTCACTGTGACTTCAGTCACTTTGGTTTGGTTTTTATCTGTTATATTGTTTCTATATTATCTATAAATGTTGTTTAATTAAAAATGACACATTTTTATCTGGTGTAATATTTTTAGATGTAACAAAGTCAGATTCTAGTTTTTATTGAATTTGTACTCACCGGTGTTTGTCAGAGATTCTGATGTTTTGTTGAGGAAAACCTGTTGATTCAGTTGAATTTTCAAACAGAGAGAAACAGAGAGACTCGACTCGACTGCAGCTCTGCAGTCTCTCAGACTAACTTTCACTTTCATTGAGGAATGTGATTTTTCCTCTTTCAGTGTTGCTCCACCTCTCAGTGTTCAGACACGTTACCAAAGGGGGGGAAATAAAAAAAACACTGAGCCTTATTACTGATTGTTGTATCCACTCCACAACTGCAGGAAGGAGAGCTGCAACCGTCCCCCTGGGGCCTCAAACAGACACTGAATTTTGTGAGAGGCCACAAGTCAAAAAAGTTGGATTTGGTTTAATCTTTAAAAATATGTTTTTATATATCTTCTCAATCTGTAAAGTAAATTGTAACTAAAGCTAAAAACTACACACAAAGTAACATAAAATGGAAAAAAAGTAAAGTAAAAGGACCTCAAAACTGTACTTCAGTGCAGTAAATGTACTTAGTTACTTCCCAGCACTGCTGCATGATGGATAAAGTGGATGTCAGCAGTGTAACATCTGACCTGAAAGAGAAAACGAAGCTGCAGAAGGTAAAGAAGGCGACTCTGACACATCAGAGGACGACAGACAACACTTCGAATAATAACATTTATTTATTTATACACATACTCTGGTCCAGAGGAAAGGATAACTCAGGGATTTAATGCAGGAGATAACTGTGGAGTCTACGAGAAAGCTGTTCTCAGCCTTGATACCTTAATACTATGATAGTTCTCACAGGAACAGTAGGCAGAAGATAAAACTATCTCACAGATGTTCATTATAGCTGAAACACTGGTACACATAGTGGACAGTAAGATGAATATAAGTACACAAAGTAAATGATACATATCAGAATGCAGAAAGGTCAAATGGTGGCAGGAAGTTGTCCAGTTAATGCTTCCAGCACACTCAAACATTTATCAGCACACACGGTAAATCTGTGATTTCCTGCAGATAACTCCTGCTGGAATACGTTTGTACAAACAAGTTAGCAGTTTCTCTCTTTATGTCGAACACATTTCTACTTTTGTTGGTCAGAATAACTGAAGTGTCGGTGTCTCAGTATGGAGACTCTGTCTCAGTACATCACTCTCTGTCCTGTTTGGTTCTTTTTTATCTGTGTCACAAAAATCTTCCTGATCACTATGGAAGCTGGAGAAGTTCCACTCCTGTGTTAGCCATGTACTCAGCTTTTGGGGTCCGTAGGGTCCCTTAGCTTGGGAACTGGAGGGATGCTGTTTGAAGTCCAGTATGAAGTCAGTACGGAGTGTGGACTGGTAGCTGGAGAGGAGTGAAACATTTCCCCAGCAGGGCAGAAAGGTTCACTGTGTAAGTTTTAGTGGCATCTAGTGGTGAGGGTTGTGAATTGCAACCAACGGCTTAGTCACCGCTCACCCCTCCCTTTGTAAGCTCAAAGGAGGAGCTACAGTGGTGACAAGCTCTGTCGGCTCGTGTGCTAAATAATACATGCGGTGTTCCATTTGTCCAAATAATACTACTACTACCACTACTATTCAATTTTGTTACGTCCCAGCTCACCAGGGGAAAGGGGACGTATGCATAAACCAGATGCACTTGGTATGGTGGAAAAGTTTAAGGTTTTAACAAACTAAAGTTGGGCAAGTGGGTGCTGTGATAACATAAACTCAAGATAACAAAAAGAGATCCCTCCAAAACAGGGATTACTAACTCAAAAAGTACTTACTCTAAAACCTAGCCCAACTCTGCAGACACACGGTTAAACACAAACTAACTCAAGGGTGTCTCTTAACAAAAATAAACACAACAACATAAACACTTACTGACTCTCAGTAGTGAAATAAACTGCTGCAACAGAGTCTTTAGCTAAACAGCTAACACAAAGACTACTCTCAACAAAATAAATACTGACTCTCAGTAATAACAGTAACAAACACAAACAGGCCACAGAAGTGAAGCTGCTGCAACCAGCAAACAATATACATACTAACGGTTCCTCACCGAAACCAGCCAATCCTCAGCCGGGGATTGCACAACCTGCTTAGCATACTGGGAAAACACATGGACAGCAACCAAAACACACGGCTGCTACCAGCGGCTCTAACAATTTCAGTTCAATTTTATTTACATAGCGCCAAATCACAACAACAGTTATCTCTGAGCGCTTTACTACTACTACAACTATTACTTCTTCTTCTTCCTTCTTCTTTGTATGTATTAAACAAAGTGACGAAACACGCTCCGTAGAGCCGTTTGTCTGTTCAGGCTACTGTAGAAACAAGACAGCGTCCATGTAAGAGGACCCGCTGTGTCTGTAGATAGAAATGTCTCATTCTAAGGTAATAAAAACATAACGGTTCTTTATGTAAGGTCTTTATACACCACTGAAAACATAGTTATGGATATTATATTGCATTTCTGTCAATAAATCCTCCTAAATCCAAACATTATCATCTTCTTCTTCAACAAGAGGATTGCACCAACATCAAGTTCTTTATCATGTACTTTCTCTGATAAAAAGAAACATGATGTCACCATCTTCACGGTACTGACATAATCATCTTCTTCATCATTATCTTCTTCAACAAGAAGATTCCACTAACATCAAGTTCTTCATCTTGTGCATTCTCTAATAGAAATAAACATGATGTCACCATATTCAAGATGCTGACATCATCATCATTTTTATAAATATCTTCTTCATTATTAATATTTTCATCTTCTTCATCATTATCTTCTTCATTATTAACATCATCTTCATCATCATTATCATCGTCGTCTTGTTCTTTCACTCCACTCACTACTTTCAGGATCTGAACTCGTTGCTTCCAGCCTGGCTTGGCCTCCGATTTCTCCCTCTCAATCAGCTTGTCGATGTACTCTGGAGTGCACGGAGGATCTGGTTTCAGTGCTATCTCTTTAAGTCTGTTTAAACACTTTGCAGTGCTGTCTATCAGATTCCGTACATCAGCAAGCACAAGTGCACATTCATACCCTACTTCTAAAAGAGATTCCCAAAAGCCCTTGTTTTTCTTCAGGCTTGCCTCTTGATTCTTCTCAGGTTTGTTTAAACCAAGTTTGAACTGCTTCAGCAAGTTTTCAACTGAATTTTTGAGCTGCTGTCTTTCTCTGAGGACCTCCTTCGTCATCGTCAAGCTTTTGGTTTCTATTTGATTCAAAGCAGCAAAGAACCTCTTCATGCTTTTTGTCCCCATGTTCCAACACATCTGATCAAAGCCTCCATCTTCATCCTCATCATCCCCACTCATGCTGCCTGCTGCAGATGATTTGTTGTCTGCAAACAAAGCTGAGTTATTGAATTTGAAGTGAACTGGCAGCCCGTCTCTTGTTTTAGGACATGGGACACCTGAAGCATTGATTGCCTCTAGAACTGGTGGACGCTGGCCGTCTGCGAATGTCACCAGAACCCTGATGTTTTCTGCCACATCTTTGCCAAAGATTGAGAGTATGGAGTCAAACACATATTTCTGTGTTGGCGTGAGTTGAGCTAAAGAAGCCTGAGCTACAAAACACACAGCGTCAATTTCACTGACACCAAGCTCAGCAGAGAAGAGATTACACAGCTGTTCTGTGAGGCTCTCATCTCTTATTAAGCCTCTTGTATCTCCAAACTCTGGAGTGTCAACAATGGTCAGAGAGTATTCTGTTTTAAAACCCTCCTGGTGGTTGATTTTGTACACAGTGACTTCAGAGGTCTGACTTTCAGCCTGTGACGTCGACTGACCCTCATCAATTAACTTAAACCGATATGAATCCTCCCATTCGACACCTAGAATGTAGTTGATCAGTCCATTGATCAGAGTCGCCTTTCCAGATCCGGTCGCTCCAAAAAACATTATTGTGCGATTTTTCCTCGTGCTTTCTTTTCCAAAACTGTATCTTCTACATCCATCAATGTCCGTATCTTCTTCTTTCAGAGGCAGTTTGTAAACTGAAGGTGATTCAGAATTTATCCTTTCACTTCTACTTTTGAGGAGTTCTGTGAGACGTTTAAATGTCGTTGTGCAGACATTAACAGAGATGCTCTCCTTGCTTCTTCCAGCTGCACCACAGTCACATCTGACCCTGACAACATATTCTGTCTCTGGCTGAAGCCCTGAAATGATCGCCTTTTCAGCTCTCGACATCATTTGCTTCCATTGGAGATCTTCCTCTTTCACCCTGTTGTCTGTTTTGGCGTACTCCACGATGTAGCTCAAAATCTGGACATCTTGTCCAAGCTCAGCAGGTTTCTCCCAGCTGACTGAGATCTCACTTGAGTTTGGTTCAACTTGAGGTTTTCCAGGAGGGCTGCAAGGTAAGGTTTTAATGGAACCACTGGCTTCATTGGCCGGCCCAACACCTGCTGAGGTCACTGCTCTGCATCTGAACATATACTCTGTGTTAGGACTCAGATGGCTCACTGTGACTTCTCCAGCTTTTGATGCTGTCTCTTGTTGCCATCCATCCTCTCCTCTGACACAGTACTCTACAGAGTAGGAGGTGATGTTCTCTGCTCCAAATCTGGGTGCAGAAATCTTCAGTGTCACACTGTTGTGCTTTATGTCACTTGCTGTTACTGTTTCAGGCTTTGAAGGCGGCTCGAAGTTCTCATTGACAGAAAAGCCGTCTTCATAAAGGTAGATGCTTGAACCTTTCTGTGTCTCATTTGTTAATCCCACTGTCAGGAACTTTATGTTCTTGTTCTCCTTGTTGGCCTCTGCAAAGTCACTGAAGAGCTTTGCTTTATTCCTCATTGCATCTGTTATTTCTTTTGAGGTGAACCATTGTTCCTTCTCTACATCTTGAGGGTTGTCTGGTTCGGCTGTTTGTTTTAAGTAGTTAGATAAAGCTGAGAGGTACGGTTCAGCACTTCCCAGGGAGGTGAAAACAAAACACACAGCATGCTCTGCACTGAGGGTTTCCCTGTACAGGTGTGTTTGAGACGGGATGATCTTGGTGTTTTTCATCATGTTGGTTAAAGACATTAAGGTGTAGACTTCTCTCTCTTTACAGTCCAACCACTCGTTCAGGTCTTTGCTGTTGAAAGGAGAAGAATGTCTCTTCTTCAGGATCTCTGCGAGCACAGCCTCCTCTTCTCCTCCTCCTCGGATTGATGGAAGTTTCTTTGCCAAGTTTTGTTGGAATCCCAGTTTGAACTCAGAGCACATCTCTTTAAAGGTTTTAATCTTTTTGCCAATCTGTGGGAACTGCTGTGCGGTGGTGGTTCTCATTGTGTCATTGCACCTCATTTCCAGCTCACTGAAGTCCTCCAGGACTCTCTGTGATTCCTGAACTAATCCTATACTTATCTGACGGACCAGTTTTGCAGCAGAAGAATCTAAACTTGTCAGTGGCAACAGCCAGACTTTCATCGGTACAGCCTTTTCTCCGTTGGCTCCCAGTAATCTTGGCAGGCTTTGGTAGACTTCTACTGCATCCTGAAAGGACACAGGACTTTTTTCAAGAGCAAAGTCTCCAAAGAATCTGCAGGAGAATTTCTCAACATTTGCTCTGTCCTTGTCTTCCAGTTTCAGGGAACCTTCACCTCCTATAGAAATGCAGGGAATCTTGTTGATCATCACCTTCAAGTTCCCCTCAATGTCTTGATGATCTTCCTCTTCAGAAACCTCACGGTCAAAGACAAAGAAGGCTTGTGCCCCATAAAGAATGGCTGTAACTACATGTGTTGCTAATCCTTTATCAAAGACATATGGATGCTTCACATTTGCTGTTCCAAGATGATTCATCGACAGTTCCTGGACCTTTGTGGTAGCCTTGTACTTCAGAGTTACTCTGGCCTGATTTTTGGAAATCTTTTTGTCATTCAGGTATTTAGCCGATCCTCCAACTTCAACCAGTCCACTCAAGAAACTTGCCTTCAAGGAAGCTTCAATGTTTAGTGCTGAAGATTTGTCCTCAATTGATTCAGATGCAACGATCTCAAAATCATTATAGTTCTGCGGTCTTTCTCGTATATATCTTATCAGGTCATCGTGGTCCCACAGTGTAATTCCTGCAAAAGAAGAAGCAAAAATCAAGTTCAGCTTCCAGAACAGGTCAGACAGGAGAAGAAGAAAGTGATTAGGATAAAGATTAAGGAGAATGCCCCTGCACCACCCTCACCATACTTGACAATGTCCTGTTTCATGTATTTTGTGAACCCGGCAGCGCGGCGCTGTTCTGATCATGTGGCATGGTAGAGCGCCAAATGCATGTTTAGTAATTCTGTGGCCAGGCTTAAGGCTAAGGGTTATCTATGTTTATATCTTGAACTTTGTTGTCATGCTCACTGTACAGTGGTCCCTCCTCGTTTAATTCCAATAAAAGTAAAATACGTTAAGATGCAACAGGAAACAGCTACAATAATAAAAATTGATAGGCTTTTATGACTTGAATAGAAGCTGGATCAACAAGTCAAAAGAAGCAAAAAGATCTAAGATGAAAATGTTGTTGACTGTCACTTTTAACCCTGAAAGGTTGGTTGTGACGCATTAAGTATCTTAACATGTGAATACTTACCAGGGATGAGTGAGTCTTTGCGGCAGTCGTACAACATCCCGAGGCTGAAAGGCCGGCCGAGTGCCGCCACCTCCATCGTCTTGCCGGCTTCAGAGTCCATCGCTCAGTCTGAACTGGACAAAATGGACAAAAACTTGTTAGTTCAAGTTAAGCTAGCTAAGTTAGTTAGTTATTTTTTATGGTCACTGTCAGGTTCATCATTTTACTTGGGAATTGTACTAGAATAGGTCAACAGAAGAGCATCATAATTTTGGCACACTGCACTGCTGCAGCAGTCTTGTCTTTTCACCCAGAAGCAGAGTAGGGCTGGTCCTGACAAGCAAGGTAGTGTGATCAAAAACGAAACTCCTTCCCAGTAACCATGACTTTGATTCAACCATGGTTCATGGTTCATGGCTGAACCAAAGTCTTAACCCCAAACACAGGCAAAATTACCCGGACCACGTATCTGTGATGATTAGCATCTTTATTTGTTCCTGAGTGGAGGAGCTTCCAATATTTCAAGTGCTTAGTTGATGACAACACTGAATATTGGAGTGTTGTGATGATGAGAACTACTTGAGCTCAATACAGTTCTATCCATCCATCGTCAACCGCTTATCCTGCGTACAGGGTCGCGGGGGGGCTGGAGCCAATCCCAGCTGACATTGGGCGCAAGACGGGATACACCCTGGACAGGTTACCAGTCCATCGCAGGGCCAAACATAGACAAACAACCACTCACGCTCACACCTAAGGGCAATGTAGGGTAACCAATCAACCTAGCCTGCATGTGGGAGGAAGCCGGAGCACCCGCAGAGAACCCACGCTGACATGGGGAGAACATGCAAACTCCACACAGAAAGGCCGGGGCAACCGGGGTTTGAACCCACGACCTTCTTGGTGTGAGGCGACAGTGCTAACCACCGAAATTACGTATCATCATCTTCCGTCCGTTACCCTGAAGAATACATCATCCTGTTTACTCTCTGCTTTCCTTCTCGAGCTAGCCAAGAGATGATCCTGATGGTGAACCTAAACGGCAATCGGACTTGCCACACTAAATGGGATATAGTCAACGAGATCAGAGGGGCCTACTATCCCCTACCATGAATGGGTGTTTCACTGCCACTATCATTCTAGTGGCTTCCATGGGAATGCTTCTCACCATGAGATTCCTCAGCTAGCCGTAGACTGCATCCAGTGGACAGATTTGGATGGGATTGTCCTGCCAACACCAACACCCTCATTCCAGCTCGGGTTCAGGTCGGGGCTGAGCTGAGTTGCCTCGGGGGTGTGTGGGCCTGGGGCCAGGGGCTTTGGTATCTCTGGGTCTGGACCCGTCCTGAGACTGGGCGGGTTTGTCGCTGGCTCTGGGGTGCTGCCGGTGCTCGAGGGGCTCTTGCTACAAGCCCTGGGCTAGAGGGACCTGGCGTCCTCTTGCTTAGGGGGGTGGTGGGACGGGGTGGAACGATGGGGCCAGTCAGGAATCTGGACCCAGTGGGGAGGACCATTCTAGCCTCTCTATGACCTCCTTTACCTTCCCCCCCTTTGGTCATGTCTCACTACATACACCTTCAGGACTCTGGGGAGCAGGCAGGCTGCAGGGCATTTGGTGGGTGGGGCTGCTTCATTGCAGCCTCGCCCTTCTTCCTCCCCCACTGACCGCCCCTCAATTTTAATTACACATTAGAGGGCTTTGGGGGTGGGAGGGGCATGTCTTGAGGCTCCACAACGTGACAGTTCTGGGGTGCCTGTGTTGTGGCTCCCCTGGCATGGGGGCCCGCTCTGGATCTGGGGGTCAGGGGACTCAGGCCTCTGGCTTTGTTGTCTCCTCCCCTCTTTGGCAGGGGTGGGGCTCCAGCTGCTTCCCCCTGCCGGCTCTAACATAGTGGGGGCATTCGGGAGTCCCTGGGGCACATGGCCGGTGTTGTCCATGTTATCCATCCTGCTGAATTTACTATTGGGCCCAGCATCAAACTAAAATTGTGAAATTTGCTATCATCCATTGAATGAAATGTCACCTAGAAAACATTATTCAACCTGAAACACAAGTCAATTTTAACTTTAACCTCAGTCTCCTGAGTTAAAGTCCTTGATTTACTTTAGCCACTCTTCCACCCCAACCACCTCGTTACACGGACTTTCTTGCTCTTTTTCTACATCACATGACTTCCTCCTGTGCTCCCATCATACGTCCACTAGAGGTCGCTGCCTAACAAAAATGTAAATATGGTTTTTAATAAGCTGCTGCACAATCAACCTATACGGCTGTTTTTCTAGTTTTTAACGTGGGTTTGCAACAAAACAAAACAAGCAAAAGAAAACCACCTAGTCAGTGACTCAGCAAACCCAAACAAAAAAGAATTAACAGTTAACTCTGTGCAATTGTTGTATTCATATTACACTGAACAATTGTTATAGAAAGCATAATAGAAAACATGTTCAAACCCCACCAGCTACGCAGCCAATCCCTACTTGGGTCTCCCTGACTAAGTTACTCCTAACGTTACATGAGCACACTCCTAAAAAGCTCAGACATCAAAAAGATTCTTTCCCAGGTGGATTAGAGAGGACAGATGCAAAATACAGGGTTGTCCAGCACTGTTGTATTTCTATATCTGTAGCTGTTTTATATGAGTATGTACAGTGAATATTTTTATTACATTACTGAATTTAATTTAGTTTCATTTTGTAGACTTGCAATTACATATTTTTTTAAAGCCCTGAATTTCTGTGACAGTTTACTGTGAGGCAGCACAACACATGCAGTAAAGCAGAGACCTTTTGTTGTGATGGAATTTTGGTTTATGATGAATCAATAAAAGATTACAAAGACAACAGTGAAACAGATCACATTACTACATGTTGGATGTGAGATGAGCTGCTGAGTCGGTAAAGAGAATTGTGAGAACAGTTTGTAGAGGAATGTGAAAAAGCTGGAACCTCAGCAGGAACTCTTCATCTGTCTGCTCTGTGCTGCTGCTGTCAGGGATCAAACCTGTACCATGCTGCCCTCTGACGGCTGCTACAGCACACTGCTTCAAACACCACCTTCTACTGATGGTCAGTATGAAAAATCATTAACTGTTGATACCTGCATGTGGACGTGTGACTATTGTTTCAGGACAGACTTAAAGTTTTCCTCTACACATTTTTTAAATGCAGATGTTAATAACAACAGCAGTCACGTATAAGCAACATTATGAGGTACTTCCTGCTGTTCAAAGACCAAAAGCATAAAAAACTGTGGAACAACTGCAGATATTTATACATGACTAAGATGCTTTCAAGTGGCTTTGCTGCAGTCCCCCAAATCTGTCTTCCACCTCTTCTCTTATGTCTGCGCTGACTCTGGTCTTGAATCTTTACTCACCAGCAGTGATGGGCAAGTTCAAAAATGTAAGACATTATAGATTACTAGTTGCTGTCATTTGAAAGTAATTAGTTATTATACAATATTAGGCTACTGTCTCTGAATTTTAATGCTTTACACTACTTTTGCGTTACTTTCACTGCTATTTATGTAATGGCCGCATTATTCTGACAGTAAGATGTGCTGCATAGGTGGGTTCTAGTGATGTGTAGATCGCAGTTATATCTGCAGATCAGGTGGGTCAGGATAAAGCCCGTTCTCTACTCAGGGCGTCCTATACCGACGATCTGAGAAAGAGTGACAAAGCGTAGTCTGTGTGAGACGCACCGGCGTCAGGTATGACGCACTGAGATGAGAATGTGTTGGATAAATCCCTTTAAGAAAGACGCTGCGCACATTTCCGCACGAGGTAGGCCTACAGCAGCATAACGTCACTGATTATGTGAATGTCCAGACACTCAGACAGGATGGGTCAAGATGAACTGACAGCAGCCTCTCTGATCATGAAAGTCATTTGTAAAAGAAAACACAGAGCCTCTAGAAATCTATTTACACATGATCCATCAGGGCAGCTACCGTCTTGATAAGAGGAGCCGAGCTCCCCCTAGTTTGCACCCTGCCTACAGTCTCAACCATCGGATTCCCGCAACTGGTAATATCGTTACTCTTTTACTCATGGATTTGTTTTCCTGCTGCTGAAATGTTTCTTGGTGTTGGTGATTATTAAAAAAACAAAACGCCTCTTAAATTCAGGTTAAAATGCGTTGTAAGGCGTGTTACTGAGATTGTACCGGGTATAATATTACCGATTTTAGTAACGCGTTATATTACTGCTATTACAGCAAAAAGCAACTCATTACTGTAATGGCGTTACTTTTGGAACGCGTTACTCCCAACATGGCTCACTAGTGTTTGACAGAGAACCTGATTAGAGCTAAATTTGACCAAATATTCGCTGTGACTGCATGTAGTCTGTGCAGGGCAGTGTACTCACCAGTGTGTGTCAGAGATTCTGATGTTTTGCTGAGAAAAACCTGAAGATTCAGTTGAATTTTCCTTCAGAGATAAACAGAGGTTGGTCAGGTCTGCTGCTCTGCTGTCTGAGACTAACTTTCACTTTCACTTTCACTGAGGAAGCTCTCAGTGAACAGGGACGTCACCAAGTGGGGGGATTTGGGGGGCCTGTTGTTTGCAAATGCACTTTCTTCTTATTTTGAATAGGTCATATTTTGCTTTTTGGCTTTCCCCTTCCCTTTATTGTGTTATATATCTTTGTTTGTGCATGGAATAGGTTTGCAAAGTCCACATAAAACTCTGCACCTAAACTGAAATCAACAGGATTGTTGTCCAGCCTTTACTTCAGTAACCTGTCTGTGTCACTATATAACATGCGGCATGGTGCTCGCTTAACAGCTAGTGTGGCAGGTTCCACAAGTACACCTAAATATGAAATTAAAATAACGTTAGAGACCCTCCAGGCAGTTAATGGATATAAAGTTGTTACTGTGATGTCGAGACAGTGCACAGTTTTAAGATTACATAAGAGAGAAAAACATGTTTAGTTCATGAACATCAGGGGAACAACTCCAGCGGATTTATTTCCTACTTTTCTCACGTCATCAGTGGAATTATTAGACATTTTGGTGAACGGCACAATCGTTGGGAAGCGTCGTAAGAGGGGTAAAGGAGGGGGACTCCGCAAACCACTACCGGCAGTATTTCTCTCCCTCTCTCACTGTGCAAAAAACTGGACAAACTTCAGCTTCTGGTGGGAAAAGACAGAGACTTTTATTCATCTTCTGTGCATAACGGAGACATGGTTGTGTGAACTGATAACGGACTCCGCGCTGCAGCTGGCTGGCTTCCAACTGTACAGAGCGGCACAGAAGTCTCCGGCAAAACAAAAGCTGGAGGTGTCTGTTTTAATATCAACAATGGCTGGTGAACCGACGTGACAGTGATTCAGCAGACCTGTCTGATCTGGAATTGTTTATCATTAGCTGTAAACAGTTTTACTCCCCCCACGAGTTTCCTTTATTCATTGTCTTCAGTGTTTACATTTCACTGCAGGCCAATGGACCGGATACTCTGTGAGGAGCAGACAAAATCAGACTCCCTTGTTAGTGTTTTGGTGACGTAACAAAGGAAACCTCAGCCATGAACTCCGCAAGTTTATTAAGTGTCCAACCAGAGAAGGGAACCCTTTGGATCACTGTTACACCAGAGTTAGTGCCTATCATGCTGTCACACGCGCTCCACTGGGACACTGATCACGTGACGGTCCATCTGATTCCTGCATAATGGCAGAAAATTAAGCTCTGTAAACCTGTGAGGACATCTAAGCAGTGGACCAGTGAAGCTGTAGAGGACCTTCAGGCTTGTTTGGACTGCACTGACTGGGATGTATTCAGGACTGCTACCAACAGTCTGGATGAGTTTCCTGATGCTGTGAGTCCTACATCAGCTTCTGTGAGGACAGCTGTGTACCAACACGCATCAGGGTGAGTTAGAACAATGACAAACCCTGGTTCACAGCCAAACTCAGACAGCTGAGGTTGGAAGAGGAGGAGGCGTTTAGGAGTGAGGAAAGGGCCGGGTGCAGGGGGTTAAAGTACAGATTTAGCAAGGAGGTGCGGGAAGCTAAACATCTGTACTCAGAGACACAAAAAGATAATTTCTCTGCAAACGGCACCACTTCTGTCTGGAGGGGGTTCAGACAGATCACTAACTATAAACCCAAAGCCTCCCACTCCATCAACGACTCTCGCCTTGCAAATGAGCAGAACCAGTCAAGAGTCAATTGGACACCATCCCCTGTGACTCCTCCGCTCAGATTCAGCCCTTGGACCCCCTGCAGTTCGCCTACAGAGCCAACAGGTCTGTAGATGATGCAGTAAACACGGCCCTTCTCTACATCATCCAGCACCTGGACTCCCCAGAAACCTAGGCCAGGATCCTGTTTGTGGACTTCAGCTCTGCTTTTAACACCATCATCCCGGCCCTGCTGCAGGACAAGCTTTCCCAGCTGAGCGTGCCTGACTCCACCTGCAGGTGGATCGCAGACTTCCTGACAGACAGGAAGCAGCACGTGAAGCTGGGAAAACATGTCTCTGATTCCAGGACCATCATCACCGGATCCCCTCAAGGCTGCGTTCTTTCCCCCCTTCTCTTCTCCCTTGTACACCAACAGCTGCACCTCCAGTCACCAGTCTGTCAAGCTGCTGAAGTTTGCGGATGACACCACCCTCATTGGGCTCATCTCGGGTGGGGATGAGTCCGCCTACAGGTGGGAGATCGACCATGTGGTGACCTGGTGCAGCCAGAACAGTCTGGAGACAGTGGAGATGGTCGTGGACTTCAGGAAGAGCCCAGTCCCACCCTCCCCCATCATCCTGAGTGACTCCCCCGTCACCACTGTGGACTCCTTCCGCTTCCTGGACACCATCATCTCCCAGGACCTCAAGTGGGAGCTGAACATCACCTCCCTCACCAAGAAGGCCCAGCAGAGGATGTACTTCCTGCGGCAGCTGAAGAAGTTCAGCCTGCCAAAGACAATGATGGTGCACTTCTACCCCGCCATCATGGAGTCCATCCTCACCTCCTCCATCACCATCTGGTTCGCTGCTGCCACTGCCAGGGACAAAGGCAGGCTGCAGCGCATCATTCGCTCTGCAGAGAAGGTGATTGGCTGCAATCTTCTATCACTTCAGGACCTGTACGCCTCCAGGACTCTGAGGTGAGCAGGAAAGATTGCAGCTGACTCCTCCCACCCTGGATCAGACTCTCCCCTCTTGCAGGAGGCTGCGGTCCATCAGGAACAAAACCTCTCACCACAGAAACATCTTCTTCCTGTCTGCAGCACTGACACTCCCCCCTTTCAAATAACACGTCTCTGCACGTGTAAATATTATTTTATTTCATATCATGCACAAACCCGGCATATTGCACATATTTGTTGTTAATTGTTAATCATTGTTTAAAAAATAATGAAAAATGAATGAAAATAAAATTATGTAGACAATATCCTCTTGTTGCAATACGTTCGCACAACACAAACGGGAGTAATGCACATGTAAATATCTGCCACATTGTTATCTATTCTGTTATCATTCTTATATAAATTTCATTTGTTTATTCCATATTTATATATTCCTACATTTATTTATGTCAACTGTATGTTTGTCTTCGTGTAGCACCTTATCACCAAAGTAATTTCCTTGTATGTGTAAAACACTACTTGGCAATGAAGCTCCTTCTGATTCTGATTCTTCTGACTGACAGGCACAGAACCGTTTGGGACTCTCTGTTAGGAAAAGACGAGGTAGAAACTGAAAGTAATTGAAAACACTTGTTATCAGGCAAAACCCTCAACACAAATCCACAGAGATGTTAACTTCAGCACCTCTGATAAAGTGCAGCTCACAGTCCCAAACAGAGCAGGGTTGGCTTCAGTTTTCAGATTTTTATATTGCAAAACTGTACCAGCCACGTTGCCACTCAGTCACAAACTAAGTTGCCGTTGCTGCACAGTCACACCGGACACCTCAGTGCTGTCATTACAATCCTCCCTCCTTTAAACAGTCTGTCTCTGTAATAAGCCTGAATAGAAATCTCTTCTAGAAAATCCAGTGCTAAGACTGGGGGCCAGACTGCTGGGTCATTTGGTGGAGCAGCAACTGTTCCATTACAGTCTGAGCTGCTTGTATCTGATGCTGGCTGTACATCTCTGGCTGAGGCAGCCTGTACTTCACCTGGGTCTGTGTGACTTGTTAAAGAGGTCTGGACTGGGTCTGGGCTGATACATGACTGCTGTTCCTGCAGTTCACTCTCAATGAGTTCTTTCTGTTCTTGTGCCCAGAAAGATTGTCCCTCTTCATCCTCTCATAGTTTAAAGTTTGGAGAGTGTTCCTCTCCCACAGACCATGCCCTCCAACTTTGCATCTATTTCTCTATGGGAGTTAATATTCTACCTTATGTTGCTTTGAGCTGTGCATAGGTTAAGAATGAATATTTACTTAATCCACATGTCAGAGAGAGAGAGATTCTGAATATGCAGAAAGTTTTGAACATGAGTATAAAACCTGCAGAAACACTGGAGCTATTAGTGCAGGAGTTTCTTACTAAATTAAAATGAAACAACACGTCACATGTTAATTAAAGAACATTTTTACTTCGTCAACTAATCTTACTTGCTACTGTGAATAAATCATTTTAAATATTTCACAGTGCACAACTCACCGTTTCAGCAATGCTGATGGCATCCCTCCTCAGATTCAGCCTGCTGATACCATTTCCTCTGCCGTTGCATCGGTGAAACGGTTGTCAGTAAAATGTGTGTAGACTGCATTTAAAAAGTTGCAGGTGAAAATGTGACGCGTTTTCTGTCCTCAAAGTACAAACATCACAAACACAGATGCCAAATATGCAAACAGCACACTTATCCAAGAAGAGGAGATTAAAAACTAAAATACAGACCCTCTGTTAGCTAACTTACTGCAATAGGTTAGGCTAGCTAACTAAACTAGAAAGACAAACCGACAATCATACAGACACACATACACAGAGAGATTTACCTACATACTAAGTGAAATGAATGATGAATTGATTAGCTGACTTAATGAGGTGTGACTTCTTTTTTTTTTAACAGGCATGACAGTGCGCCTGCGCAAGTTTGGGTCATACATCACCACCCCATTTTAGCAGTTAAGCAACTTTTGCTACTTTGAGTACAAAATTAAGGTATTTGTCAAAAAACATTTGCTGAACGGTGTGGCTAATCAACCTGGGTCAGTACTGTGGACAGACTGTTCTGGAACTGTTTATAGAAGTCTATGGTGTATCAATCTCCCCCTTTGGATTTACCATTGGCAAGCTTTTTAATTGCAGCGAGAATTTTTGTTTCCCAAACAGGGACCTCCAGTTCCTCTCTGTCCTGCACACTGAAAGTCAGGCTAAATACTTCTACGTTCAGTACTGCTTCAAGTACTGCACTCTCTGTTAGACTTATTGTTTTTGGGTAGAAATTGCACTTTTTAAAAATGTTTTGCTCTTTTCTTCATCTTACCTGTGACCTTTTAAACTTCTATAAGTGAAGCACCTTGAGTTTCCTCTCTGCATGATCTGTTGGGCCCCAACCAGACATTGCTGTTTGTGAGAGGTCTCAAGAAAAAACAGTTGGAAAGCACTATGTCTATGAAGATTCTCAGTCATCCAGGTCATAGTTATCTAACGAAGGTTAAAATCAAGGGCAACTGGACTTGGTTGAAGATACTGGAAGACGTTTCGTCCCTCATCCAAAGGACTTCTTCAGTTCTGACTGACTGGCAGGGAAACTCAGCTATTTAACCTCAGGGGGGTCGTTGGCCCGGGTCATCGATACCGCTAGTTTTGTTGTGGTGGAGGCCCGGCTGACGGTGAGTGTCCTGTCTTTTTCTCCTTTTCTTCAGTTATTCTACTTTTTCCTTGGTTTTCTGTTCCCTGCCTGCCTCCCTGTGTTTCCTCCCCTGTGTGTGCTCTCTCTCCCTCTGCTCCTGAGCCCAGCCAACGACCCGCACCTGCACCTCATCAGCCACCTCGTCAGCCTGCCTCACCTGCCAGTAGTCAACCTCATCCCTGCCTGTATTTCAACCCCGGTTCTCCACACCATTCTTGCTTGATTGTTGTTGCTCCCAACCTGGTGCCAACCTCTCAAGCTCAGGTTTAAATAACCTTTGTTTTCTAGCCCTCGGTTATGTCTTTCTCTCTGCTTTTCTCCCAGGTTCACTCACCCTCGTCCTCCGTCCAGTCGGCTGGGCTCTTCCTCCGGTCCCCTCCTCCTCGGACTTCCCTCACGGCGTCCTCACAGTCCTTCCTTGCCTCCGCACTTCCTCGGACCCGGTGTTCCCCGGCTCCCTGGTCCCAGTCCCGTTGGTTTCCCTGTGCCAGTGTATCGTCGGCATCCACCTCTCCCTCCAGTCCCTCAACCCCGTTTTCCCTCAATAAACCTCCTTCGCTCTGCATTTGGGTCCTCTCTGTCCCCACACCACTCGTAACAGGTTTAATCTTTAAAGAGGTGGTATGATGCTCATTTTCCGGTTCAAAATCCTATTTAGGGATTGTACCAGAAAAGGTTTACATGGCTTCATTTTCTAAAAACACCATATTTTGTCATACTGCACATGGCTGCAGCTCCTCTTTTCATCCTGTGTTGAAGGCTTCGTTTTAACTATGGAGTGATTCAACTTCTCTAAATGATCTTTGTTGGGAGTTGCACATGCTCAGTTCCTAGTTAACGACTACTAGCCGAGAATCAGAAGCAGAGAAGGGCGGGTCAGCGAGAAGCCGGTAAACCGCTTCGGTTCAGCTGTACATGTTGCCGACCAGCTTGGCAACATGCTGTGTGGTGAGTTATTATTCTGTAACAAAAGTATCTTTCATCCATAAAGTTTTAACTGAGCTCTGTCTCTACATCACAGTAACAACTTTATGTCCACTGACTTCCTGGAGGGTAGCTAGTGTTTGGAAGGGAGAGGAGAGCTGTGCTGCAGCTCGCTGTTTTTCCACCGCTGTTTTTCCACCGCTGTTTTTGAGGGCATGTCGGAGTAGCCGCTTGGCGAGCGTTGAAAGGGAAGTGGTTGGACTACAAACGAGTTTTCTGTGGGAGATGGGAACTCCCTTTGGGCTGGACTTTTTCACATTGCAAACCTGTTACATGCACAAAAAAGATATAACTCAATAAAGGAGAGGGGAAAAGCCAAAAAGCAGAATACCACCTCTTTAACAATAAGCATTTTATAAACTAATCTCATGTTTTTATATATGATCTTAATCTGTAAAGTAACTTGTAACTAAGGCGTCAGACAAACGTAGTGGAACAACCGGAACAATATTTTCCTCTGGGATATAAAGACATACAATTATAAAGAAGTGTAAAGTGAGAATAGTAAAGTAAAAGTATCTCAACTGTACAGTAAATTTACTTAGTTACTTCACAGCACTGCTGCAGGATGGATGAAGTTGTCAGGGATTCAGATGAGTGTAAACAGGAGAGCCCAAACGCAAGACACTAGAGAGCCAACATCAAAGTTCAGGGATTTTAATCCAAACTGAAACAAGCAATAACGCTTACAGGTTGCAGAGACAGGTAAATCCAAAACAATTGAACAGGTAGTTCGAAGATCAGGCAGAAAACACATCACACTACACATGACAATGACCGGACAGAGACTGAACAGAAACAGCAAACATTTAACACCAGGGACTAACGAGTTGAGCGGGAGCAACACAGGTGACAAGGATCAAAGCTAACGAGGCCGGCAGAGAGACAGCAGGGGAAAAAAGAGAGACTGGTAGGCAGGCAGATTACTGGGGGAACAGACAGAACACATGTTACAAAATACCAGACAAAAACAGAAACCCATGTAAACAGACAAACACTGACCAACTATAACACAGGGATCATAACAGACAAAACCTAAATGAGAACACAGAACTAGAACACAGAGGCAGATAGAAAAAAACATAACGGGGCAAGGCAGCACTGAAACTAGAATTAGGCAGAACACCAGACAATTACAGAATAAAACATGGAACTAAGGCAAGCACAGATCAAAACCAAAAGACAGGCAACAGTAAATAAACAAACGCTGGGCAGACTGAACACAAGACAGGACTGAAAATAACAAAACTGGCAGAGAACTAAACTAAACAGAGCAAACAGACACATACTGTGACAGAAGTGGATGTCAGCAGTGCAATGTCTGACCTGAAAGGTCCTGGAAGAGAAAACGAAGCTGCGGAAGGTAAAGAAGGCGACTCTGACACATCAGAGGACAACAGACAACACTTAGATTAATATTTCTTTATTGTTTATTATTTAATGATTCCTCCATCTTTCAGTGGGAGCCTTCGTATTACCCCACAGGACAAGGAAAGTAAGTCACTACACTATATCAGTATCAGGAGAAAACAAATGATTCAGATTTTCTTCATGTTTTCAAATCTTCAGGAAAAAACCTTAATAGCAGATAAGAATGTTAAAATTAGCAGGAAGCTGATAGCATTGTAAAAAAGTGAAAATATATTTAAGCCCGTATGTAAAACAATTCTTATCTGAAACTGGTGGTAAGTTTACTGTATGTCTTTGTGGAGAATCGATCAAATAAAGAAGTTGCAACAAACAGTTGTCTTTGTGATTTTTACTAAAGTAAGAAAAAAGACAGAGGACTCAGACTCCACAGGGTGATTTGGAGCATCTGGATAACTAAGGGATTTAATGCAGGAGATAACTGTGGAGTCTACGAGAAAGCTGTTCTCAGCCTTGATACCTTAATACTATGATAGTTCTCACAGGAACAGTAGGCAGAAGATAAAACTATCTCACAGATGTTCATTATAGCTGAAACACTGGTACACATAGTGGACAGTAAGATGAATATAAGTACACAAAGTAAATGATACATATCAGAATGCAGAAAGGTCAAATCAACCATTCAAGTAAAACTTTAAATCTGAGCAAGAAGCTGATATTCCTGTTTACAAAGCTGTACTGAACAATGTAAATCTATATATCTAAATGCTTTTTATGAGCAGTTATTTTTAGATTGAAAAAATAGATAAAATAAAGTATTTCATTCTCAGTGTTCAGGTTTGCTGAGTTAATAAAGCTGCAGGTTTAAACTGTGACACTGGTGTTAATGGTGGCAGGAAGTTGTCCAGTAAATGCTTCCAGCACACTCGAACATTTATCAGCACACACGGTAAATCTGTGATTTTCTGCAGATAACTCCTGCTGGAATACGTTTGTACAAACGAGTTAGCAGTTTCTCTCTTTATGTCGAACACATTTCTACTTGAGCTTTTGTTGGTCAGGATGAGAATAAGTCTCAGTACATCACTCTCTGTCCTGTTTGGTTCTTTGGTGTCGGTGTCAATTCAATTCAATTTTATTCATATAGCGCCAAATCACAGTTATCTCACAGCGCTTTTCATAAAAGAGCAGGTCTAGACCATACTCTGATGTTATTTACAGAAGCCCAACAATCAGAATGGATCTCCTCTTTGTCTCGGTATCTGATCAGGTCACAAAAATTCCTGATCAATATGGACAGAACAGATTCTCTCATGTGTATATAGTAGCTATGATCTCAGCTTGTTCTCTCCAAGTTAACAGGGACTGAACTCGTTTCTTCCAGCCTGGCTTGGCCTCAGATTTCTCTCCCTCAATCAGCATGTCAATGTACTCTGGAGCTGAGAGAGGATTTGCCTTCAGTTCTATCTCTTTAAGTCTGTTTAAACACTCAAAAGACCACTTCATCAGGTTCACCACGCTAGTCTGCACATGATCATATTCAGCCTTCAGTTTATCAATCAATACCTGAACAGGTGCCTTAGCCTCTGAGGCTTTCAGGTACTTTTCTCTCAGCTCTTTCACTGTTCGTTTTTCTTGTACTTCCTGATACTCCCATCTGTACTTCTGAATAAAATGTACACTCCAGAAACATTTGCCTGGACACTGATTACAGTATCCATCTGATCCCATTTCCAAGCAGCGTATTTTATCTGCATCGTTGGGTGTTGCAGAGGCATAGTGACAGGTGACATCACACTGCTGACAGTTCATGAAGTAATCTCCAGTACCAAGAATATCCAGTTGAACAGGTTTAGTGAAAATGATTTTAAACTTAAAGTGCTCATTTCTGCTGATCTCTGCCTCATTCTCTTTCAGTTTTTCAGTTGTGTCTTTGATCTCCTGAAGCGTGGCTAACTGAACTTTAACCTGCTCCTGCAAGTTTTCAACTGAATTCTCGAGCTGCTTTCTTTCTCTGAGAACCTTCTTCATCATAGTCAAGCTTTTAGTTTCTGTGAGATTCAAAGCAGCAAAGAACCTCTTCATGCTTTTTGTCCCCATGTTCCAGCACATCTGATCAAAGCCTCCATCTTCATCCTCATCATCCCCACTCATGCTGCCTGCTGCAGATGACTTGTTGTCTGCAAACAAAGCTGAGTTATTGAATTTGAAGTGAACTGGCAGCCCGTCTTTTGTTTTAGGACATGGGACACCTGAAGCATTGATTGCCTCTAGAACTGGTGGACGCTGGCCGTCTGCAAATGTCACCAGAACCCTGATGTTTTCTGCCACATCTTTGCCAAAGATTGAGAGTATGGAGTCAAACACATATTTCTGTGTTGGCGTGAGTCGAGCTAAAGAAGCCTGAGCTACAAAACACACAGCGTCAATTTCACTGACACCAAGCTCAGCAGAGAAGAGATTACACAATTGTTCTGTGATCTGTCTGTCTCTTATTAAGCCTCTTGTATCTCCAAACTCTGGAGTGTCAACAATGGTCAGAGAGTATTCTGTTTTAAAACCCTCCTGGTGGTTGATTTTGTACACAGTGACTTCAGAAGTCTGGCTTTCAGCCTGTGATCTCGACTGACCCTCATCAATTAACTTAAACCGATATGAATCCTCCCATTCGACACCTAGAATGTAATTGATCATCCCATTGATGAGAGTTGACTTCCCAGCTCCAGTTGCTCCCAGAAGCATGATGGTGCGATTAGGTTTAGTGGACTTTTTCCCAAAACTGAAACTCCTGCAGCCAGGGGCACTGATTCGTTCATCTTTCAGGGGGATTTTATAAACAGGGACAGGACCGGTCTGGGGTTCTAACAATGTGCTTTTTTCTTTAACAGAATCAGAAAGACTTGAGCAGGTTTTAGTAGTAGGTAAGGTTTTAATGGAACCACTGGCTTCATTGGCCGGCCCAAAACCTGCTGAGGTCACTGCTCTGCATCTGAACATATACTCTGTGTTAGGACTCAGATGGCTCACTGTCACTTCTCCAGCTTTTGATGCTGTCTCTTGTTGCCATCCATCCTCTCCTCTGACACAGTACTCTATAGAGTAGGAGGTGATGTTCTCTGCTCCAAATCTGGGCGCAGAAATCTTCAGTGTCACACTGTTGTGCTTTATGTCACTTGCTGTTACTGTTTCAGGCTTTGAAGGCGGCTCAAAGTTCTTATTGACAGAAAAGCCGCCTTCATGAAGGTAGATGCTTGAACCTTTCTGTGTCTCATTTGTTAATCCCACTGTCAGGAACTTTATGTTCTTGTTCTCCTTGTTGGCCTCTGCAAAGTCACTGAAGAGCTTTGCTTTATTCCTCATTGCATCTGTTATTTCTTTTGAGGTGAACCATTGTTCCTTCTCTACATCTTGAGGGTCGTCTGCTTCGGGTGTTTGTTTTATGTAGTTAGATAAAGCTGAGAGGTACGGTTCAGCACTTCCCAGGGAGGTGAAAACAAAACACACAGCATGCTCTGCACTGAGGGTTTCCCTGTACAGGTGTGTTTGAGACGTGATGATTGTGGTGTTTTTCATCATGTTGGTTAAAGACATTAAGGTGTAGACTTCTCTCTCTTTACAGTCCATCCACTCATTCAGGTCTTTGGTGTTGAAAGGAGAAGAATGTCTCTTCTTCAGGATCTCTGCGAGCACAGCCTCCTCTTCTCCTCCTCCTCCTCGGATTGCTGGAAGTTTCTTTGCCAAGTTTTGTTGGAATCCCAGTTTGAACTCAGAGCACATCTCTTTAAAGCTTTTAATCTTTTTGCCAATCTGTGGGAACTGCTGTGCGGTGGTGGTTCTCATTGTGTCATTGCACCTCATTTCCAGCTCACTGAAGTCCTCCAGGACTCTCTGTGATTCCTGAACTAATCCTAAACTTATCTGACGGACCAGTTTTGCAGCAGAAGAATCTAAACTTGTCAGTGGCAACAGCCAGACTTTCATCGGTACAGCCTTTTCTCCGTTGGCTCCCAGTAATCTTGGCAGGCTTTGGTAGACTTCTACTGCATCCTGAAAGGACACAGGACTTTTTTCAAGAGCAAAGTCTCCAAAGAATCTGCAGGAGAATTTCTCAACATTTGCTCTGTCCTTGTCTTTCAGTTTTAGGGAACCTTCACCCTCTATAGCAAGGCTGGGAATCTTCTTGATCATAACTTTCAAGTTCCCCTCAATGTCTTGATGATCTTCTTTTTTAGACACCTCATGGTCAAAGACAAAGAAGGCTTGTGCCCCATAAAGAATGGCTGTGACTACATGTGTTGCTAATCCTTTATCAAAGACATATGAATGCTTCATATTGTCTCTTCCAAGGTGATCCATCGACAGTTCCTGGAACTTTGTGGTAGCCTTGTACTTCAGAGTTACTCTGGCCTGATTTTTGGAAATCTTACTGTCGTTCAGGTATTTGGCCGATCCATCAACCTCAACCAGTCCACTCAAGAAACTTGTCTTCAGGGAAGCTTCAATGTTTAGAGCTGAAGATTTGTCCTCAATTGATTCAGATGCAACGATCTCAAAGTCAGTGTTCGGTTTTGGTCTTTCTCCTTTATCTTTTTCCAGGTCATTGCGGTCCCACAGCGTAATGCCTGCCAAAAAGAAGAGGAGAAGTCAAACTGCCTTTTATTGCATGATAGTAAGGCTTAGCTTTTAAACACAAAATCAGAGAAATTCTAAGAATAAAAGTAGCAAACCAACGCTGGCTGTTTGTAAGAACCTTCTCTGTGTTATATTAAGAAAAGGATCAATTCACAAATTAAAATAGCTTCTTCCTGACATGATTTAAAACAAAACATGTTGGTAATCTGTATCAGAACAAGTGACACATGATTTATCTGCTGAGTTCAGATAATTAAAAAGAAGCAAAAGTGATCAAACGACCTCCACCACCCACAAACTTGTCTGCTGATACCTTTGCTGCCTTCTTCACAGGCAAAGTGGAGGCTATAACTAGCTAAGTCTTTGAAACACTCAAACTCAACCATTGTAGCAGTCCTACTACATCTTTTCCCCTGCCCTTCCATGTCAGTGGTTGTTCACTCTCCTTGTTTACTTCTCTCACAGAGAGCGAAAGTATCAGAACTCTTGACCAGTAGCCGTCCAACTACATGCCCACTGGACCCGATTCCTACGTATCTCCTCCAAGCCTTATCTCCTACTATGGTCCCGACAATCACTCATGTGATAAATACTTCTCTGGCTTCAGGAACCTTCCCGACCACTTTCAAAAGGGCTCGGGTTACACCCTTGCTCAAAAAGCCCTCACTTGACCCAACTCAAGTTGAGAACTATCGACCAGTGTCTCTTCTACCTACTACCAAAAGTATTGAACGGGCAGTATTCAAACAGGTCTCAGAATTCCTCTCACGGAATGACCTCTTAGATCCATATCAGTCTGGTTTTAAGAGTGCCCACTCTACTGAAACGGCTCTTCTGTCTGTAACAGAGGCCCTAAGGTCAGCTAAAGCTGCAGCCCAATCTTCAGTTCTTATCCTGCTTGACCTATCAGCTGCCTTTGACACAGTCAACCACAGGATCCTGCTATCCGCTCTCTCAGCAATGGGCATCTCGAGTGTAGCACTCCTGTGGTTCGAATCCTAACTCTCGGGGAGTTCCTACAATGTTTTGTGGCAAGGACAATTATCCTCCTCCCACTGCCTCTCCACAGTGGTGCCCCAAGGCTCAGTGCTTGGGCCCCTTCTCTTCTCAATTTACACCACCTCACTGGGGCCGATCATTCGTTCGCATGGCTTTTCTTACCACTGCTACGCAGACGACACGCAACTCTACCTATCCTTCCCGCCAGGCGATCCCACTGTCTCGGCACGGATCAGACATATCTGCATGGATGAAGGCTTGCCACCTTCAACTAAACCTCTCTAAGACTGAACTCTTGGTCATTCCAGCCAAGCAATCTATCCACCATAACATCAAACTACAAATTGACTCCGCAACCATCACTCCAACCAAGGTGGTGAGAAACTTGGGTGTCATGATTCCTGTTGTAGTTGATGCTTTGATGGTGCTTGTATGTTGTTCCTCAAATGTAAGTTACTTTGGATAAAAGTGTCTGCCAAATGAGTAAATGTAAAATGTATATGTAAATGTTGTTGAATGTGGCTTTAAATCCTGAAAGGTTGGTTGTGACGCATTAAGTATCTTCACATGTGAATCCTTACCAGGAACGAGTGAGTCTTTGCGGCAGTCGTACAACATCCCGAGGCTGAAAGGCCGGCCGAGTGCCGCCACCTCCATCGTCCCGCTGGCTTCAGAGTCCATCGCTCAGTCTGAACTGGACAAAATGGACAACAGCTTGATAGTTCACTTCTCTGACTCTTCTGCTGTCCAACCTGTTATTTCTCTGTGTGATGTTTAAAATATTTGGTAATGCCCAGCCACCCTCATGTTTATACTTTAATTTGATGTTTTCACTCATTAATTTATAGGACACTTTCATACAAATATACATATATATGTCACACTGTCTGTCTGCTTTGTTCATTTAGTTCTCTGTCAGTCCTGTTATTTATAGTCCCTTCCGTATCTGTTATTTAATTTGTGTTTTGGTTCCATGTCTTTGTTCCCAGTCCAGTGTTTATGTCTCAGAGTTGTTGAGTCTTGGGTTCGATCCCGTCTGTTGTCCTGTGTCCAGTATCTGTTATATAGTCTGTTGTGTTTTGGGTTTCACTCATGCCCGTCTCTGTCTGTCACTCATGTCTGTCTTCTTAGTGTCTTAGTTCCCAGTTCAGTGTTTTACTTAGCTTCAGTCTGTGTTCCTTGTTGGTGTTGGTATAGTGGTGATATGTCTGATGGTGTCTAGATTAGTTTGCTATTTTTCTTATTCTGATCTGTTACTTCGATATGTTTAGTGTTCAGTACTTGTGTCTTCTCACCTCCAGTATCTGCCTGCCATCCAGTCTCTCTGTTTTCCCCTTCTGTCTCTCTGCCTCGTTAACCCTGATCACAGTCACCTGAGTTGCTCCCGCCCTGCTTGTTAGTCCCGGTGTATAAATGTTTGGTGTTTCTGTTCATTCCCTGTCTGGTCATTGTCGCATGTCTGTTCTGTCGGATGTTGTGTTACTACCTTTTGGATGTTACCAGTTCCTGTATCTGTGAGTTTTGTTCATGCTGGTTTTTGTGCTTTGTATTAGAGATCCCTGAACTCCATCTCAGCTCTGTGTCTTGCGTTTGGGCTCACTACTTCTTTGCGTACCCACCGTTCCTGAAAATATAGCTGTAATAAAGACGCCGTACACGACTGCTCAGCAGCAAAAAAAAGACAGTTAGAGTCAAGCTGGTGAAGATAGCTGAGCGTTTAGAAGCTAAAGAGCCAGATATTTCTCTCATGAAGCATCATGCTGCTCTGTAGCTGCTGGAGGAAGAAACAAGCTGCTGTTTGATCATAAACTTACAAAGTGCTGACAGGTTAATGTTCACTACTTGTTTCTGCTGAATACAAGTGGCCAATAAAACTGCAGGTTTAAGTTTTATAAAAAAATTTTTATAGTGCTTTAAGTTCTGATATCTTAATGTTGCCTCAATATTATTTTCCTCTCACAGGATCAATGGGTTAGCCGACTAACTTTTGGCAGGCTTTGGTAGACTTCTACTGCATCCTGCTTTTTTCAAGAGAAAAGCCTCCAAAGAATCTGCAGGAGAATTTCTCAACATTTGCTCTCTCCTTGTATTCCATTTTAAGCGAACCATCACCATCTATAGCAAAGCTGGGAATCTTCTTGATCATCTTCAAGTTCCCCTCAATGTCTTTATGATCTTCCACCTCACAGTCAAAGACAAAGAAGGCTTGTGCCCCATAAAGAATGGCTGTGACTACATGTGTTGCTAATCCTTTATCTCATCTTTCTAAAGAAAGATGAATTCAATTGTAACTAAGGGCCCTTTCACATCTGAAATTCTGCATCAAGGTCCAAACCAAAGTTCAAGCTTTGATACATTTTGGTAGATTCAGTTATATTCAGCAGGTTTCAGGCTGAAATTCTGCGAGCGCACTAAAGAACTTTACATGACAGACTCGCATCCTGTCGTGAATATTTATGTGGGCTGCATCTCCTGTCAGGATTGATGAGCGCATAGCAGGAGAGGGCCCAAATGCAAGACACTGAGAGCAGAGATACAGTTCCAGGGTTTCAATCCAACAAAAGAACAAAGCTTACAAATAGTGATGACTGGCCAAGTCCAACACGAAAGGTAACAGGAATCTCTGAATCAGGCAGAACACACATCTATGACAATGACCGGACGGGAACTGAATAGAAACACCAACCATTTATACACCAGGTACTAACAAGCAGGCGGGAGCAGCACAGGTGACAGAGACCAGGGCTAACGAGACAGGCAGGCAGAGAGACAGCAGGGTAAAACAGAGAGACAGGTAGGCAAAGGGATCACTGGGGGAACAGACAACACTCGACAGGCAGACAGAAAGTGAGCATGAAACAAACACCAGATAAAAACAGACTAAGACAAGAACTTAGGCCGGCACAGACTGAACACAAGGCACAGGCAACTGACACAAGAGAGGAAACATACTGGAACAGACTAAAATCTAATCATACAGATAGACTACAAACGTAACGGGGAAAACAGACTGAACTAAGAACAGGGCCCCGTTTCAAAAAGCAGGTTCAACAAACTGAGTGTAAACCTGAAGTCTGGGTTGACGAACTCTGTGCTGTCAAAGTTTCCGGTTTCAGAACAGGTATTAGTTCATTCAACTCTGAGTATGTTGAGCCTGCTGGGGAAAAAAAGCCATCATCAATGGAGGTCCGATAATACGATTCGCCATGGCAACGGGTAAATAAAGGCAGATCCTCTATTTTAAATCAGGTGGAGCTAAAAATATGAATGAGTGCCAACGCGGACCATGATTGGCTCTAAAACGCAGGAGTGGAGGATCGATATGTTAACATTACATTTTATACATCGTTGCTCATTCATCATTTACCAGACTGGAATTTCCTTAATGAATGATAAAGTGCTGGGATTCTCCTCCAGCCTGTTATTCATATTAAATAGCTACAGGCCTGTTTATTCAGCTGGACCTGACGGGACTAAATGCCGGTGGCAATAACTGAAGGTGATAATCGAACAGATTAGACACAGTTTAGGCCACTCATGGACCTGTGATTGTAAAGCCACAGTCCGACTCAGTAGGCATATGGCTATTAATGATTTTTTTGCAGTGGAAAATGTGTCTAGGTTCAAACTTACTGTAAAGTTTTAGACGTCAATTTTACATTAATAAAATTTTGTATTTTATGAAATGCTGTCAAAACACATTCAGACTATCAGCAGATAATAAAAAACTCACTTTTAAACTACATTTATTTGTTTCAGCTGCACCACTCTCACTCCAGATATAATACAATATTCACATCATATCCAACTGATAACTACGATAGGAATGTTCAATCAGTGCAACTACAAGATGAAAGGTTACTGTTCATTGAAGTATTCCTCTTCTTGAGGAGGTTAGGTTCACAGGGTAAGTTGCTGGGGTTACAGAACTAGAGTTTATCTGAACTCGCTCTCTGAAACTGAAAACCCAGAGTTTCCCTCTTCTCAGGCTCAACTTACTCAGAGTTTTCACTAAACCCGCTTTCTGAAACAGGGCCCAGAACACAGAGCAGACATAGGCAAAATAACAACAAACACCGAAGTACACAGACTGGGAGAAAACACTAATACATGAACTAAGACACAGAACTGGAACGCAGGACGAAGTAGTGAGGCAAGAAAACAAAGAGAACCAACGCGAAAATCCCCACAAAAATGAACAATGCGAAACAGTATAACATAAGACATGGAACCAAAACCCAGAAACAAGAATCAAAATACAGAACAAAGAGAAGGCACGGCCAAAATAATAACACAGACAACCACAGGACAGGATCGTGACATCTCCCTATACTTGACAGTGATTAATCTGCGGGTAGCTTTGACAAGAATGTTATGTTATAAACTTCACGGTCCGGACAATCTGAGCTATATTGTGCAGCTCCACATCCACACAGTGAACTGGATCCAAACCCTGCTTCAATCAGTTTACTGTTGAACTGAAACAGTACTGCACCTCCATAGAACACTTAAACAATAAAAAGCCATATAAAGCTCCAATATCGAAATGAATTAAATTTTAGCTTCTGTCAATGTGAGATGTATTGATAATTGTATCCTTTGCATTTTTGTTGTTGTAATGAACCGATATGTATCAATAAAACCTACATAAAAGCTTTGACAAGAATGAATGAGTGAGGAATGAACAGATGCATATCTTCACTTTATTGTTATTATTTTGGCATTACCACCTGCAGCATCAACTATACTGGAGGCTAATTCAAATATGCCAAATAAAACATCCACGTGTGAACAATATATTGTCACTGATGGCAGGAAAGGAGGACTGACAAAAGAGGTGAGTACAGTTTAGTTCCGTAGTGGGTGTTTCAAAAGATGAGCTGTCACTATCCGTGCATTTGTTTGTTTCTGGTTTACACTGTCACTGATGTGACTGTTTGTGAATGGGCGTTCCCGAGGCAATAAGATTGGAGTTGGAGTCCTTTTTGTCACAGTGGAGCAGCGCTGCGTGTCTGCTGAACATCCCAAATCATGGTGCACACAGCTGCGTGGATGGAGTACACTTAAATGTAAATGCTCCGTATTTGTATAGTGCCTTTCTACTCTTTTCGACCACTCAAAGCACCATTCACACACATTCGTACATTGAGCCTAAGTACTCAAACAGATTTTGATAATGATAGTAATCTTAATCTTCTGATTAACAGCCAACGCTCTACCTCCTGAGCCACAGCCACCTCGCTTACAATGCTCAGGTCAGTTCTGCCACAGGTACAGTGAGGAAAATAAGTATTTGAACACCCTGCTATTTTGCAAGTTCTCCCACTTAGAAATCATGGAGGGGTCTGAAATTGTCATCGTAGGTGCATGTCCACTGTGTTGGAGCAATCATTAGAAAATGGAAGAAGCTAAACATGACTGTCAATCTCCCTCGGACCGGGGCTCCATGCAAGATCTCACCTCGTGGGGTCTCAATGATCCTAAGAAAGGTGAGAAATCAGCCCAGAACTACACGGGAGGAGCTGGTCAATGACCTGAAAAGAGCTGGGACCACCGTTTCCAAGGTTACTGTTGGTAATACACTAAGACGTCATGGTTTGAAATCACACATGGCACGGAAGGTTCCCCTGCTTAAACCAGCACATGTCAAGGCCCGTCTTCAGTTTGCCAATGACCATTTGGATGATCCAGAGGAGTCATGGGAGAAAGTCATGTGGTCAGATGAGACCAAAATAGAACTTTTTGGTCATAATTCCACTAACCGTGTTTGGAGGAAGAAGAATGATGAGTACCATCCCAAGAACACCATCCCTACTGTGAAGCATGGGGGTGGTAGCATCATGCTTTGGGGGTGTTTTTCTGCACATGGGACAGGGCGACTGCACTGTATTAAGGAGAGGATGACCGGGGCCATGTATTGCGAGATTTTGGGGAACAACCTCCTTCCCTCAGTTAGAGCATTGAAGATGGGTCGAGGCCGGGTCTTCCAACATGACAATGACCCGAAGCACACAGCCAGGATAACCAAGGAGTGGCTCTGTAAGAAGCATATCGAGGTTCTGGCGTGGCCTAGCCAGTCTCCAGACCTAAACCCAATAGAGAATCTTTGGAGGGAGCTCAAACTCTGTGACTGACTGATCTAGAGAAGATCTGTGTGGAGGAGTGGGCCAAAATCCCTCCTGCAGTGTGTGCAAACCTGGCGAAAAACTACAGGAAACGTTTGACCTCTGTAATTGCAAACAAAGGCTACTGTACCAAATATTAACATTGATTTTCTCAGGTGTTCAAATACTTATTTGCAGCTGTATCATACAAATAAATAGTTAAAAAATCATACATTGTGATTTCTGGATTTTTTTTTTAGATTATGTCTCTCACAGTGGACATGCACCTACGATGACAATTTCAGACCCCTCCATGATTTCTAAGTGGGAGAACTTGCAAAATAGCAGGGTGTTCAAATACTTATTTTCCTCACTGTACCTGTGGCAGAACTGACCTGAGCATTGTAACATGATTTGGAAATGTCTGAGTGGAGGGGATCTTTACCAAATGTGAGACTGTCTTTAAACAAACCTCAGGAAAGACAGTTCAATGTGTGTGTGTGAGACTAAAGAAACAGGAAACAGGTTATTAAAAAAAAAAAAGGGTAAATCATCTTAAGCTAAGGTTAGCTGTGACTGCACTCTGTGTTTTTTCTTCTCCCTGTTTTATATAGTTATATCGTTTTAAAGTATAAGTATAGAGTAGTATATAAAGTATATACATGTCAAAGTTGACTTGTTTTTTTTACACACCTGTCATAATATTTTAAATGAAACAAAGTCAGATTCTGGTTTTAATTAAATTTGGCCAACTAACAGTGTACTCACCAGTGTTTGTCAGAGAGTCTGATGGATTTTTCTTCAGAGACAAACAGAGAGGCTTCAGTTGAGGAAATGCGATGTCGAAGCTCTCCTGATGGACAGGACAGACAACATTCAGCACAAGTGACATAAGAACATATGTATGTCAACAACATGTTGTTCTCTTTAGGTTAGGCAGTCATTCTGCTGATAGATTTCAGATAATCAATTCATTAGTTTTAGTTACTGTTACCAGTTCTTTTAGTTAAAACTACCTTTAACTCGTTGCTAAGCTAAAATAGAGCAGAGAGCCGGAACCATTGAAACACTTTTCAGATAAACATCATTTTAAAAGATACAGACAGAAACGTGTTCGATCAATACCAGCTGATGTTTTGTCCAAATGTGGAACGACTTCAGTTTAATTTGACTTACAGCAGAAGATGCGTCTCGTTTCTTCTGTCCTGACCGGTCGGGATGAAAGAAACACAAACAGTATAAATTTAAATTGTTTTTATGTTAATATTGTTTTAATTTAAAATGTCTGTCCTTCTTAATATATAACTAACCCGTCATCAGATCATGACAATGACACAACTTAAATTAAAATTAAATTACTACTTGAGTGAATTTACTTTCAGTGATTAAAAACAGCTTCTTTGCTATAACTCCGCAAAACTGCGTTCTGTACGTGCTGATGTAGTTTGGCACATCAGAAATGTATGAGCTCAGATAAAATTGCTGTTTTACTTTCGTCCTGCGTTTCATTTGTTCCAGCTCTCCTCTACAGTCTGTCTATGTGGTGTAACAAACTCAATCACTAAATCAAACAGGAAAATGTTAAATTAGCTTCAGCTAATGTTAGCTGTGACTGCATGTAGTCTGTGCAGGGCAGTGTACTCACCAGTGTTTGTCAGAGATTCTGATGTTTTGTTGAGAAAAACCTGATTCAGTTTAAATTTTCTTCAGAGACAAACAGAGAGACTTGTCTCCACTGCAGCTCTGCAGTCTGAGACAAAATTTCAACTTTGTATGAGAAACTATGATGTTGAAGCTCTCCTCAACAGGACCGACAGGACAGACAACATTCAACGCAACAGACACAAGAACACAGCTGCCTTTTGAAAACGTCCACAGAACCAGCACACAGTGAGGGTGTGGGCAGAGCATTCCGAAGTTTGTGTGTAAAAAGCTCGATCACCTGAAGGCGAGTTTGTGACATCTGGTGTCAACTAATGCAGATTTATCAAATATTCCACAGTAGGACTGGGCAGCAGAGGAGATATTATAATATTTTGCATAATCATGGGGGCATTTTTTCTGGAGCAACAACAGAACCTCTGTCTTATCAGTACTGAGCTGCAAAATATGTTCTGCGGTCTCACACCCAGTCCCTGATCGTGTTTAGACATAGTTGAATTTTATCTGGAAATAAATATGTTCTGTTCGATCTGTCTCTGATCTTTCACAAGGGCAGCAGATAGAAAGAGAATAACAGGGGACCCAGAAACGAGACAGTGAGGAGGAATCAGACCCCATTTTTAGTTTACAAGATCAAAATATAACCGACTGAAAGCAGCTGCTGTTGTTCAGATCTCAGGCTGCTAAAACAAAAATAAAGGCCACTATTTCTTTATGAAGGGGAGCAGAGTGTGTGGACCGAACCACAGCAGCTTTTAGAGCAAAGAAACCATGAACCAAACCTTCACTCAGCTGATCCTAAACCACCACAACTGAACAGACGTGAAGAAAAGGGTCATCAGTGTCACTGCTGCAGCTCCTCTGAGTTAGTAATGACGTGTGCTTATATTTTCATATCGTTCATACTTTAACTAGAACTGAATGATCAGAGAGTCAATCAGGAAGCATTACAAACGGGTGGGTAGCAACTCGTTACCAGTTCATTAGTACAAAAGTTAGGCAACTTTTCACTTTTAAAAAGTGTACTTTTACACTTTACTTTCCTCCAGTATTCTTTTGGTCTCAGTAATCTATTTTTAAATGTTACAACTAGTCTGTTATCTGCTCTGCATTTTGCTGCATTTAGCAAAATGAGCGGCCATCTAAGCTGTGTTACACAGGAGAGCTTTAACTGAAGCGCCTCTGTCAGATATCAGCTGCACACACCGAACAGTACATTAAAACACAAAGTAACCTGTACTTTGAATAGTTTATTGACCAGATACTTTTACTTGAGTAAAGATTTGAAGTACTCGACTTATTACTGATTATATAAAAGAAAAATCTTACATTCAGACACAAACAAACCTTCCACAATTACAAAATGTATATAGAAAAAACTCAATTCACTTTTAAAAGATCAAATAAAGAAAGCAACATGTTTATTTTAAATACGTCACATCATTCTTTGAGGGTCTCAACCTGCTGATTTTCTGTACAAGAGCTTTTTATATCAGATGCTAAAATCTTTTGAAGCGTGAGACTCAGGTAGATCAACTGGGACGTATTTATTTAGCCTGTATACGTGCACTTGACAGTGTTCAGCCTTTAGAGGTGTGGCAGTTAACACCCCAGCTGTTGTCAGGCGAGCCTCTGGTTGTCAGGGCGATGTATAGACTCCTGATGGTATGTTTGGTATTTCTATGGTGATTAGGTGTGAACGTGGCATAATTAAAGTGGGTGTGGACGAGTGTGTTTTGTTTTTCAAATTAAAGTTAATGCTATGCAATTTTTAATTTTTGTTTTGAAATGATTTCCTTGTTTTATATTTTCATGATTCCAAAACTGCAGAATGTTTCTCACAGATATTCAGATATTTGATTTCAGCTGGAGCGACACCTGAAAAACCTGTATTTTCCAGTCATTTACAGGCTTTCACAAAAATGATTTGGGATTAAATCACTTTACATTTATTACAACCTTGAACAGTACATTGTCTACATTTATACTGAAACATGAATACATTAGTAAGCATCCATCCATCCATCCATCTTCATCCGCTTATCCGGGGTCGGGTCGCCCGTCCAGGAGGCATCCTTACCAGATGCCCAAACCACCTCAACTGGCTCCTTTAAACGCAAAAGAGCAGCGGCTCTACTCCGAGCTCCTCGCGGATGGCCGGGCTTCTCACCCTATCTCTAAGGGAGACACCAGCCAACCGCCTGAGGAAACCCATTTCGGCCGCTTGTACCCGCAATCTCGTTTTTTTGGTCACGACCCAGCCTTCATGACCATAGGTGAGGGTAGGAACGAAAATCGACCGGTAGATAGAGAGCTTTGCCTTACGGCTCAGCTCTCTTTTCGTCACAAGAGTGTGGTAAAGCGAGTGCAATACCGCCCCTGCTGCTCCGATTCTCCGGCCAATCTCCTGCTCCAGTCTCCCCTCACTCGTGAACAAGACCCCGAGGTACTTGAACTCCTTCACTTGGGGTAAGGACTCATTCCCTACCTGGAGTTGGCACTCCACCCGTTTCCTGCTGAGAACCAAGGCCACAGATTTAGAGGTGCTAATCCTCATCCCAACCGCTTCGCACTCGGCTGAGAACCGATCCAGTGAGAGCTGAAGGTCACAGACCGATGATGCCATCAGGAATACATCATCCGCAAAAAGCAGTGATGAGATCCCAAGCCCCCTGAACCGCAGCCCCTCCTCGCCATGACTACGCCTCGATATCCTGTCCATGAATATCACAAACAGGATAGGTGACAAAGCGCAGCCCTGGCGAAGGCCAACCCTCACCTGGAAAGAGTCTGACTTACTGCCGAGTACTCAGACACAGCTCTCGCTTTGGATGTACAGGGATTGGATAGCCCTGAGAAGGGCCGCCCTCACCCCATACTCCCGCAGCACCTCCCACAGTATCTCCCGGGGACCCGGTCATACGCCTTCTCCAGATCTACAAAACACAGGTAGACTGGATGGGCATACTACCAAGCCCACTCCAGGATCCTTGTGAGAGTAAAGAGCTGGTCAGTTGTTCCACGACCGGGACGAAAACCGCATTGTTCCTCTTCAATCTGTGGTTTGACAATCGGCCGAACCCTCCGTTCCAGCACCTTGGAATAGACTTTACCGGGGAGGCTGAGAAGTGTGATATCCCTGTAATTGGCACACACTCTCTGGTCCCCCTTTTTGAACAGGGGAACCACCACCCCAGTCTGCCACTCCTTGGGCACTGTACCCAACTTCCACGCAATGTTAAAGAGACGTGTCATCCAAGACAGCCCATCCACACCCAAAGCTTTCAGCATTTCTGGGCGGATCTCATCAATCCCTGGGGCTTTGCCACTGTGGAGTTGTTTGACTACCTCAGTGACTTCCACCAGGGAAATTGACGAGAATCCCCCATCAGCCTCGAGCTCTGCCTCTACTAAAGAGGGCGTGTCAGTCGGATTTAGGAGTTCCTCAAAGTGTTCCTTCCACCGCCCAATTACCTCCCCAGTTGAGGTCAACAGGGTCCCATCCTTACTGTACACAGCTTGGACAGTTCCCCACTTCCCCCTCCTGAGATGGGGGACAGTTCTCCAGAAACACTTTGGTGCAGACCGAAAGTCCTTCTCCATGTCTTCTCCGAAATCTCCCACACCTGCACGTCGGTACCTTGCAACCGCCTCCGGAGTCCTCCTAGACAACAAATCCCAGAAGGCCTCCTTCTTCAGTCGGACGGCTTCCCTGACCACCGGTGTCCACCACGGTGGGTTACCGCCCCTTGAGGCACCTGAGACCACAGCTTTCCGTTGCAGCTTCAGCAATAGAGGTTTTGAACGTTGCCCACTCCTGTTCAATGTCCCCAACCTCCACAGGGATGCCAGAAAAGCTCCGCCGGAGGTTTGAGTTGAAGATCTCACGGACAGGGACCTCCTCCAGACGTTCCCAGTTCACCCGCACTACCCGTTTGGGCTTACCAGGTCTGTCCAGAGTCTTCCCCCACCCCCTGACCCAACTCACCACTAGATGGTGATCGGTTGACAGCTCTGCCCCTCTCTTCACCCGAGTGTCTGAAACATGCGGCCTCAAATCAGATATAACGATTACAAAATCGATCATTGATCTTCGGTCTAGGGTGCTCTGGTACCATGTACACTTATGAGCATCTTTATGCTCGAACATGGTGTTCGTTATAGACAATCCATGACTAGCACAGAAGTCTAACAACAAACACCCACTCAGGTTGAGATCAGGGGGGCCGTTCCTCCCAATCACGACTTTCCAGGTATCTCCATCATTGCCCACATGCGCATTGAAGTCTCCCAGCAGAACTATGGAGTCCCCTACTGGAGCCCCATACAGAACTCCATTCAGGGTCTCCAAGAAGGCCGAATTCTCTAAACTGACAATTTGAGTTTGTCACGTTGCTTCTTCGGGCTGAGCCCGGCTGGGCTCCATGGCAAACCCGGCCACCAGGCGCTCGCCGGCGAGCCCTCCCTCTGGGCCTGGCTCCAGATGGGGGCCCCGGGCTTCCTCCGGGCAGGGTGTCTCCTCCTCTTCCTCGATTCGTCATCAAGGGTCTTTGTGAACCACTCTCAGTCTGGCCCCTCACCTGGAACCACTTTGCCTTGGGAGAACCTACCAGGAGCACTAGGCTCCCGACAACACAGCCTCCAGGTTCACCGGGGCACACAAACCTCTCCACCACGATAAGGTGATGGTTCCCGGGAGGTTAGTAACCATCAAATAATAATCCAGTAATAAAATAGTAAAAACATTCAGAGACAATAATACTTTTACTTTTTAAATCTTTTTAGCTTAGTATTTTCCTAATTATTTTTTTATTATTTAAATAATTAATTAATTAATATTTATTGATCTTTTTTTTTCTCTTATGTGTCTTATTATATGCTTACTTCTCTTTATTGAATTTAATTCTTATTTTATTTTATTTTTCTCAAGTTAATGTTGCCTAATAACTTCTGTTTTGGTTATTTGGTAATGCTGGAAAAACAATGCCAGGCTCCTTGTATTGTTATTTTGCATGAAATGCGCTCTACAAATAAAGTCTGAGTGATTCATTGAAAAATGGAAGTTAAAATGGGGGA